TTCAAAATTTATTATTAACCTACACAATTTGCATTGTTAGTATTGTCACTGACCTTCCCCGAATTTTCTGGAAATAAAAAACCTGTTACATGATACAGGTCTTATAAAGAATGGTCCTTTTTTATATTCGCTGTTTTGTAATTTAGATTTTTGACACGGATCAACAATGGAACCGTGTTTTGGGGATTCAAAGATTAGAGCCCTTACTTAAATTCAATATCTCAATCTAAAGATGGATTTATGGGAGAAGAAGGAAGCTTACGTCTTTAGCAATCTCACTTACACCGCGAAATACAATGTTAGCGTTGTTTCACTCCTGTTTTTTGTTAAGCTTGACCGGGGTAGGTACTAGTACAGTACCAAACATACAATTTCACATACACATGACACCCAGACCCGGAACAACAATTTGTGGATCACACAAAGTGTTGTTCCGTGCGGGAATCGAACCCGCGACATGTTGCACGGCAGCCAGTTGCCCAGCCACTGCACCAACCGTGCAGTCGTTCCGTACTTTAAATGGGAGACTAATCGAGAGAGGTCATATTATTGTCATATGGCAGAAACGTTGTAGTACTTAGATGAGGCGATACTTGGTTTATGAAAGTAACAAACTGTTAACTCTTTTTTCAATACTAAGCAAGGTATCTAAACAACTTCCCAATTAGTTAACAACCGTTTCTCTTTAATCTATGAACTAGATAATGGGTAATAAAAATTCAATTTATTTGTTAAATTGACGAAATCATTAAGAGATAAGATGGCAGATAAAGTTGATAATACGAAGACAGATTTTATTTTAATGGTTATTCTAGAAACTGAACTACGATCTTTGTGACCTTTGCTTTTATAATTCGAAGGCAAATAGGAACTTTTCCATAAATTACTGTCCTTGTTTTATTTCTGAAAGTTTTACGAAAATCGTATTAGGTAATATTTCGTTATAGTTTCAGTCGTGGTTATTGTTAAAAGAAAGTGATATGTTAACTGCGCGCATTCTGTATGTACAGTTATATAGTATGTTTGCCAAATCAGTACAAATATCAATGCAGGATCAGAAGTAGTTATTTTAATACTAAATATTACGTTTTTAATTAATATTTTGCTGTCGATGTACCAAATGAATCTCATTTATATACTTATTACTACATACATACTAGACATTTATGCAGACTTTTTTATGTAATAGGTCGGCAAACGAGCATACAGATTACCTGATGTAAGCAATCAGCGCCGCCCATGGACACTCGCAACGGAGGAGTTGAGACGAGACGAGTGCGTTGCCAACCTTTTAGGGATTAGGGATTTGGAGATTTAGGGATTGGGGGAGGAGAAAGATTGGGCCTTCGGTTACCTCACTCACACGGCGAAACACCACGCTGTGGTTCTTTCACGCCGGTTTTCTGTGAGGCCGTGGTATCACTCCGGTCGAGCCGACCCATTCGTGCCGAAGCATGGCTCTTCCACACTTAAACTGACACACTTAGACTGTGAATAAGTGAATGTATTAGATTTGTATTTTTTTTAGTTATTGCTGTACTCTAAATTATGTAGCATTATTATTTGAAATGAAAATTTAAAAGTAAAAACCCATTTTTTGATAAAATTTCAAGGCGTACTGAGCCTTTAGAGGAACCGGTATACTTTTTTAATAAAGTTCAATACTCACAAGCAATTTAAAACAATTTTCGGATCATCGATCAACACCATGTTACCAAGCGATTCCACGTGCTTTACTCGCGGTTATTCAAATAAAACAATTAATAAATCATAATTAAGTATAACCAGTTCCCTGTAACTAGTATGCTGACGTCATAGTTTAGAACCACGTTTGAACGAACGTGGTATGTGAACATTTTTTTGGCTCGTAAAAGGCTCAAGGTACACTGGTGGGTCTTAGTGAAGGTCTAACACTTTTAATTAATAAACATATGTATGTATTTGAACCAAATAAACAACGGTAGATTCCACGACTATCAATTCTAGATGGAGATCTTTGAAAAATATGAATATATTACAAATATTAGACCATTTGCATTCAGCAAAGGCGGTCGATTGTTGCGAAACTTGATTGCAAATATGTTTGTTTGTTTTTTAGAAAAAGGATATTTTGTTGTTGTTGTTGTTTTTTTGATTAGATGCATGGTGAGTAATCAGTGTAACGGAAGCAACTGTGCCGTTTGTATATCTACGTAATATGTTTGTTTTTTTTGACGTTAAACTAAAAGAAAGCTCAAAATAGTTAACATCGTTGTTTACAAAAACAAAATAGTTTATTGTGCCAATAGGAAAGTACATTAAATGTTCACCTGTTTGGAGCCCCCATTTCAGCAAACAATGCCTGTATTATTTGAGATTAATATTTCTGAAATATATGTTTTTTATAGTTAACTCAATAGACAAAGGTTGGGTTATCCGTGGGGGATCACGCGATGATATCTGGCCACCGTAAGCGTGGGCTTGCCCGAGCAGAAGCAGACCTGAGCTTAGCGTTCAACAGACCATCACAGATTCCCAACAAGGCCGATGTCCAGTCGGGGTTACGTGTTCAGCCGGAGGCTCCGAGCCAGAGTACACCGAGACCTTATGCTCCACATTTATATTCTCTCACCAGTAGGATGATCATTGGCTGGCGATGATGTTGATGTAGGTACCAGTACGCTTTACCCCAGCAATCAACATAAGATAGATCGTTTGCGTGACGAGGGGGATTTTTATTTAACTTCCATTTGAAAAAAAATAAGAGGAAATGAAATTTATTAAATATTTTTTTTACACATTACATATGTACAATATATAAGTCGGTAATATATGATGTTGATTATTTTTTTATCCTTTTAAAACTTACATTGGCATTTATAAAACAATTAATAACCAAATTATTTTTAGACGAAACTCTAAAATTTCTATGGACAGTAGATCAAATTGCAGATAATGATCTTGATCAAAATGTTAAATTCATTTTTAAATTATTATTCCTGCACTTGATCTTTAATCTTAGATTTGCACTGAGATAAGCTCCATGAACTGGCTATACACATATTTTTCTATTATTTTTCACATTCTAGAAATATTTTATGGTTATAAAATGTTCTAGCTATATTCTGTTGTATTCAAAATCAGACTAATTTAATTGGCTTTCATATCGAACCAGCTTTTTCTCGCGGCCACGCTTATGTGTTATTTTCATGAAAGGTATGTAAAATAACACCTACTATAAACACTTCTGTACTTTCAATATATTATTTTAATAGGTATTTCTTTTGCATTATAATCATAATATTATTTGGTACGCAAGTACACAGGGTTGAAATTCTAAACAATAAGTATTTCATTCTCGCTATCAACGGGACAGTTCCATATTCTTTCTATCGTTCCAAATTTAAATATGTACCCATTCAGTACTGCCAAGAGAAAATAAATAAAACACCCAAATACCAAGTATCTGATAAATCTATAAGATTATACACCTTACTAGCCTTGGATTAAGGTTCACATTAAATGGTGCTTCTTGTCAAAGGCTTATCCAGTGAATCTTCTGACCACAACGGATAAATAAGGTGACTCCACTTCCTCGTTTGCTCTCAGACTATTACGTCGACAACTTTGTTGACTTGTTTTGTGGAAGTCGACAACGAAATGGTTTTGGTACAGTTGGCTAGAGCTGTTTTAATAAGTTAAGTTTCTACGTTGTGCGCTAGCAATTTGATACCTACAATTGCACAGAGAATTATCACCACTAATTTTTTGTAGTAGGTAACATTTCTAATCAAATTATGATAAAAATAAATTGTGAACAACCTCGGTAATTGTTCTACCTCGAACGTAAGGCGCAGAGCGTTTTGCGCGCATTTCAAAGCGCTAACAGACCACAACAGACGGTGCTAAACAGAGTTCAAAAGGGGAAAAAGAAGAAGTCAGTAAGAGTCTGACACTCTTTGTCGCCATGCCATACGTGAGAGTAGTTATTATTATGTTATTATGTTATATATTGATTTTCCCTGCTCAAAAATGGGATGGTCTATAATCTTAGTCGGTTCATAGTTGCAAAAAAATTAAAATAAAATTTAAATCTTGGTACAGTTAACAGTGGATATAAGTAAGTAACCTTAACTTTTGGCATCAATACTTTCTTAATAGGCAAAGTTTCTACTTAGTTCATTAGCTGATTAATGGCACTTTTATAAGTACGACTAGGAAAAAGAATGGTCTTAAGGTAGGAAATTCTATGAATACTTGAACACTTCATTTAGAATTGTACGGTGTCGTGCAAAAAAAATCACAGTTCTTTCATCTTATGTAATAGGTACTTCTATACTAATATTATAAAGAGGTAAAATTTTTTGGTCTGCAAGTTTGTATGTGGGGGTAATCTTTGAAACCACCGGTCGTATTTCCAAAATTCTTTAACTGATAGATAGCTACTATGTTCCTGAGTGCTATAGGCTATGAAACATCACGCTACGATGAAATGGAGCCGAGCAGCGGATGAAGACGCGGGATAGGAGCTAGTAATTATATAAAATTCTCGTGTCATAATGTTAGTTACTTTCCTCCTCTGAAACGGCTTTACTGATTTTTAGCAAATTTTATGTGCATATTCAGAATAGGTACTAGCTATTTTTCATAGGTGATAAAGATTGTTCACATTTAACATTTTTTTTAAAAAACGTTGCCCCACACTAAGATTTTCTCCTGTGTCGTGGGTGCGGTTACAAACATACAACCGCACCAACCGTGCAGTCGAAATGTTTTTTTTTTAAAGTATTATGGCAAAACAACGTTTGCCGGATCAGCAAGTAATTTATACTATAGTTTGTTAATTTTCATATAAAGTAGAATTTTTATGACATAAAAGGTAACATAGATGGTTTATTATGCTCTTTTTAATGAGCCTGATGTTACTTGTAACTAGTTTGTTATTGACCGTACCCAAGGGAATGAAAGAAATCTGTGTTTGTAAACCTGTTACACAAACCTTGAGGATCGCAATACTATTCTCAATGGTTGTTAAGGACTTCCCTCAGTACGTAGTCTATAAAAATGGAATAGGATATTATTATAGGAACGTTTTTTTTACCTTATATTGATTGGATTAGGAATAAATTAAACACAACATCAATTAATTATAATTCTTACTTTAATTGACTAGACTCAAAATCTCCTTTTCAAACTTTTCTTCTTTGTTTTCTGCTCTTTATAATCATTTCTATCGGCCATAAAACACAGATGAGTGCATAGAATGAGATCAAAGCGTAAAATGCAGACGCGTAGCTATTTGTGATATCACGTATTGCGCCTGAAAGAAAATTTATAGCTATAAGTTGTCTTGCGTATGAAACTAGCATAAATTAACAATAAATGTTAACAAATCAATATTTTGACACTAATCGGTTCCGATAAAGCTAATGATGTTAACTTAAGTTTATTGGTACCTATCGTCATAGTAACTTTAAATTAATGGAGTTAAATTACTGATCAAAGTCGCAGTAATAAATAAATTTTTGACAGTTATATTTTTTTTCGTGTCAAATATTAATGTGTTTTTTATGTAAAGGGAGAAGTAAAATTTTTATTCGAGTTGGCGCTCATTTTTGATGGGATTAAGTTAAAATAATTTGGCCATAATATGTACTTATAAGTCTGGCTCAAACAGAATAAATATGCACTATGGCTTTTCTTTTATGAAAAAAGTCTTGAGTTAAAATTTTAAATAGAAATTTCCTAGTACCTATTCTAGTAAGAATACGTACCGACAGCTGGTCCAATCCCCATGCTCAATACGCCGGAGAGAAGTTGAAGGAATCCCATAGCTGATGTGAATTTCTCAGGCGCTACAGCATCAGTGACTACCAGAGGCATCAAGACAGCAATGGAACAATGTGCCACGCCCATTAAAGTAAAATAAACTAAAATCACTATTGTGCTGTTTGACCAAAGCATACCTGAAAAATATTGCATAATTATAATCAAAAATACAGTCCAAAATCTTTAAAATTATTGGTTGCTTTTATTGATACAAAGGAGGGTGTATTGTATACCTACCAAAATAATATAGACTAGTGTTTTATCTATTACTAATATTATATTTGATTTTGGAAATAATATTGATACGAGAGCTATTATTATATAACCTGATGTACATAGTCAGTTAAAAGGTTATAAGTTAATCTGGTTTTCATTTTTTGAATTAAGCTGGAAAATGTGTGTCTTACCGGTTCTTGATAGGGCCGCTATGGCTACACCAAATACGTAAATCTTTTGAATACCAAGCTTGTACATCCATTTTGAGATACCAGTGAATAGGACTCTTGTCGCTAGATCTCCAAAACCATATAATGTTATTGCCATCGCTACGTTTTCCTAAAAAGCGAAAAAGTTGTTTTAGAACATTCTTGTAGACCACCTTGAAGTTTCCCTATAAAATGCCTTTATTCTGCATGAAAATGATGTTCTGATATATTCTGCATAATCAATAAACTGATTACAAGATCATCTTTCAGATTAGGTGCAATATCAAATTTTGTGTTTGTATTTTAACCTGTCTAGAGCCCCAATCCTTCTCCTCCCCAAAGCGGAGGCCACGGTACCTTATTGCGCTTGCTCCGCAACCCTACTGATGTTAACCCTTACTACCACAATAGGTAACATATAGCAGAAATATCGCCCGTACTATCTCTATCTTAAAGTCCATTTTACTAAAACTTACTTGACTCCATTCCATGGAGTATAAATACTGTGGCACCATAACGATGTAGATACCATCAGCTGTCGCGCACACAGCAGGCCCCAACGATGAACAAGAAAGCAAAAACGTCTTGATCAAAGATGTGTCTATCACAGATTCTATTACTTTCCTGTAATAAAAAAAAAATCGTGATTTCATTATAAAAATCTAACGAATCACAAATTAATAATTTGAGAAAAGCGATCAATTTCATGTCCCAATGGAACTCTAAGTTAACGCCAAAGTCAAAATCATTTATTTCAACTAAACCATAAATATGTACGTTCAGCGTCAAAAGTTGATGAACATAATTAGATTTTCAAACTAATATAAAATAGTGCTCAGTTAAATGTGACGATTAGTGTTCGGTTAATTTTGAACCTTAATGATCTTCATTAAATACAAGACCTATCTTATTGAGTGATTTTTGAGTGATATAGAGTAAGATGGCTTTGAAAATCTGAATGTGTTCATCGAACTTTGACGATGACTGTACTTTTGAAACGTCAAAATAGATTCAGTTTGTTCGTCGGTAATTCTAGGTGATCGTCCAGTTCGATAAAGTACTATACATCAACAGTATACAAGAAATAAAACGTCTTGAACAAAAATGTAGTCGTATCTATCACCGATTCTGTTTTTCCTGTGATCAAAACGAAATGAATCGTTTCGTTACACTAAACCACAAAAAATTGCTGATACCAGTGCTTTGAATGCTTCTGAAATACTACGCGACAGTTTTCAAGCCGTAGCGCGTAGGTTAGTCAGTGAGTTGTAAATAATTATATATTTTTATTTTATAAGTAATTCTCGAAAAGTGTCCATTCAATAGGTTGTATTAGGCTCAATTGTTTTACATGCTATTTTATGCGCACTAAAGTAAGTAAATAGGTAATCCTACAAATGTGCAATTTATCTGTATAATGCAATGTCTATTTATGTAGGTATGTAGTACCAACTTGATACCAATTTTCTTCTTTCCTTTGTCTGGTATGTCGAAGTACTTTTCTAGAGTTTCCTTCGTAGTAGTTCCTTCGAAGTCTGATATCTCTGATAATTTTAAAATTGGCGTTTCAGCCCTATCTTCTTTGTTCTCTTCCACCTCGAGTAGGTTTTCTGTAAATTAATAATTGATTATCTTTAATATTGCTAAAAAATACGGTAATTTTCAAAGTTCCATGCCTTCTATTCGAATGAGTCGGCTCCACCAGAGTTATACAACAGACTTGCAAGAAATCGGCGTGAAACAACCACAGCGTGTTTCGCCGTCAGAGTGAGATAAGGCCCAATCCAACATTAATCGTATGTTTATTGAAAATATAAATTTGAAAATTAAACCTTATTATTGAAGCCATAATTTTGAGGCTTTTTTTAAAAAACTTATTTTTTAGTTAAACCTCTTTTTCATTTAGCATTCAATTTTTTACTAATTTTTATTTTACCTAGGGTTATATTAAGAACCGATGAAGGGACTAAACATTTTGACCAAGACGGACTACAGATACTTACTAAGTTCAGTCTTTTCAGTTATTTCAAGTGGCACCTTCTTCATATGCCACCGAACCGGTTGCATTAGCATTACAGCAACGAAGTTATGCAGCGATATGCCTCCAATAAGTAGCAAAGTTCCTTTCGATCCATAGTTTTCTAGAGACCATTTTACGAATATTGGGGCAATCATGGCATTGACTCCTGTCAAAAATAGAGAAGGGTATTCCATAATTATATCTTAAACGTTTTGTGCAGGGCATAGTGCGTTTACGAACATACAATTTCACATAAGTTGGGACTGGTCAGCTCCGGACTGTCTATTGTCCTTAAGGTTATTAGGCTGTATATTAGCGTTACACTGTTCTCACATAATGAAACCAACTAAATATAAACCAACTAATATAATTTTAAAAAGAATAACCATGGAGTTTCTTGCTCGGTTTTTTCCATCGTCGATACTTTGGGAACGAGCAAATAGCTTCACTAAGAGGACTGAACGACAGACTGACACTTTCTATCTTTAATATGGATGACCACACAATTGTTCCATGCAAGAATCTAACTCATGACAGGTTGCACAGGAGCCGGTTCCCCAGCCATCGGGTCAACTGTTTAATCAAAACTATAAGAAATAGACCTCAGAGTCAAGCATTTATTTATATAGGTACAATTTATTTAAATGGTTTTAAAATTGGTTTCGTTAAATATTATTATCCTCAAGTAATGTTTATTTAGTACAATATAATTACTGTGTTTAGAATGATATACAAGGTCGACCATTAAGAGTACTTGAGACCTGTAAGATTTAATTGCTTCAAATTGATTTATATCTCTGTTGTTGTTAAGAACAACTAAAATAATATGTGTAAAGCAAAGTCTTCTGTCTGTTTGCAATTCTCATAAAATTAAGGGGTTTTTTGTTAGCAAGCTAGAAATCATTATCATGTTTATCATCAAATAATGTGTTATCTTTAATTAAAACAAAATAGATTATAAAAAATGTTACCTGTAGCAGTTTGTACGAAGCTCATGACGAGTACTCGTTTTTCAGTAAAGTACTCATTTACTATTGTGCAGGATAAGTTGTACATTATGCCCAAACCGATACCCTGTAATGTTAAATAAAATATCTTGAGTGTTGATTTAACTACTAAATTATGACAATTTGCAATGAAATACAATAGACAAGACTTGTTTAAGTTTAAACCTAGTGTTTTAAGTTTTTGTTTTGTTTTTCTTTTTATTCCTGTTATATTTTCTGATTACCTTCGCTTTCTATATTAATGCCTTTTTTTGTAGTCCTTAAGATCATGTGTGTTCTGCGCAAAAATAAATGTTTTTTCTTTTCTTTCTTTCTTTTCTTGGATAGACACGTTAAAATCTTTGGTATATAATTGAATTCAAAAACTTTCCTACTAAACATTTAAATATCGTGTGACGCTTTATAGATTTTATAGGTTTTGTACTACATAAAAGACAGTGTACTTAAATTCGTTACATTTATACATTCTTTACAATACTATTTTTTCATCGTCTAACTGGCAGACTATATAATAAATAAAATAAAATTACGCATAGGTACATAAAATACTGCGTGAAAACACATAACGTATTGTACGTTGACCCCAAGTAATATAAAAAAGGATTATGGAAAGCAAAGCTTTGAAAAAATAATTCATTCTTGAAACAAAACAATGAATTTATTTTTGTAAATAGGCCATAACACACCTCTTAACATTAACAATCATTAGCGCGGGTACAGACGATCATCTGCACTGATATGCTAACAAAAGCAATTAATTGTGAACATTATTGAAATAAGTAACCCTTATATTACCTTAATAGTCACCAAATTAGACACAGCCGAATAACTTTAAATTAAGAAATTCAAAGTTACCTGAAACACTCCAGCGGTAAGGAAGAACATGATTGGTGTGGTCATTATGACAGTACCCAGTGTTCCGCATGCAAATATCAATGACGATACAAAGGCGAGCTTACGCATCGACATTATGTTCAGCAAGGCCGATGTGAAGAAACCTGGAATCGGTTTAATTGATCTGGTTTATGATTATTGTGAAAATTACATAATATATGTATAGTCATACTCGGACTTTGTGAAATGATTTTAATTTTGTATCCCTAGACAGGAAAATAACCTTATATTTTTCCGCATCTAAATTATTCCTAGTGAAAGAAAGAATTTAATTCTAAATAGATGGCTTCTATAAGTTTTTTGATGTTGCAGTTATCCGTTTGCGACTTGCCCGGATTCTTAAAGACCTTTTAAAAGATAAAAAATGTATGTCCTTTTTATCATTGGATCTAGAAAATAATAAATCGCATAAAATAATTGAAGTGTTGTTCCTTTGTCATATGTATATGTTAAGTAAGTAATGGTTTCACGCATAATTACCAGCAAAAGCGATAGCCATGCAGAATATTCCCATGAGCAGTGTGACGCTGGCAGAATTCAATGATACTGAATTTATGAAGTCATCGTACATCATTCCAAAACAGCCAGCAAACGCCGTCGTTGTGGACTGAAATTGCGAGGAAAGATAAAAATATAAATTAGTCCAGTATGTAAAAATACTTAAAAAAAAGGCACAATTAATAGTTTTTAGAGAAGTAGATGAACAAAATTATCGTGGTGGTGATTAAAAGTATTGGTGAAGAATTTGGTGCAAAATGTGGGAGGGCTTTTTGTAGGTTTCGGAAAAACCTGTTTCGGTTCCGTAGTTTCAAATCGAAAAACTGGGACTCCGCTGCCTGTCCTTTTATCTATCTGTACCAGATTGTATTTAATGATTCGCGATCGTTAGTTCACGTTTGTTATGTTGTTAAAACAAAATAGATTTGGATTAATTATTTGTGTAGTACATTTAATTAAAAAGTCAAGTACGTTTGTATTGAATTACTGTAACATTTTATTTTACATTCTTATTTAAGAAACGACTGGTAGGTACAAGTATTATCTCTGTCATTTTTAGGAATATAATCTGGGAATCCTTGCGAAAAAACAAAAAAGGTTTAATATTGTTACATTTTTAGCCAACTAGCTTCCGCTCGAGGTTTCGCACGCGTTTTAAAGATTGTAGAAAAAACAGCGTTTAAAGAAATGGCTCGCTTAAAACACGAAAATCAAGCATCAATTATAGCCATTAGCACACAGCAACATTGTATCTATGTATTAATAAAAGGATATTAGAAATCCAGCAACTAGTGGTTCCAAAAGTCCTACATATAAACGTACAAATTTTACCTTCATCTTTATCACATTAGTATACATTATTTAAGGGTTACTTTTTGTTCCTTTTGTGCCCCAGTAAAGCTACTCATATAACATCAAAATACATAAGTAGTTCAAGTTCAAGAAGTAAACTAATCAACATATTTTTTCATTGCGACAGATGACATAACCAGTGTAAAATAAATAGTTTCTGATAACATAATTAATTTAAAAAAGATAACGGATTGTCTGTGATGTTGTACAATACTCTAGACAGTTTAATTAAGACATAATTATGATTATTTGGCTTTTCATTTTATTGTTATCTTGTACTGAGAATGGATACTGAAGATTCCACATGCAAAGACGTATTTTTTTACGGATTGCTGACGTAATTTTAAAGTGAATAGTAAATTCTGGTAATTCGAGACACAATAGGAAGAAAAAAAAAGTACACGAACGCCGGCGTTCGCTTTGGGGTATGACGAATTAAAAACAAACTAGTTACCAATAACGCAAATCACAAACACGGTACTAGTCACCATTTCTGCTTTGATTATTTATGTATGTACTAGATTGACGATTTATACACATTTTAAACCACTATTACAGTTTCATCTAAAGGCTATATGTAAGAGATCGCTTTTGTGCCATATGATCTCCCATGGTAGACAAATTATTGTCATAACTTCAAAATTTTCCTATATGTCTATGTAATGTATAATAAAGTATGTAAATAAATACATATCTTTATCTATATACTACAAGATGATGATGAGAATTATATTTAAAATATACTTTTTATTATTGTTCATTTTGTTTCTTTTATTTGGGACGTAAATGATGGGTCGTTAATTCTAAAAAATGAAGATACTCAAATTATTAGTATAGAAATTTCATGAAATATTAAATAAATAATTATTAAAATTTAATAGATTTTTAATTGAGTATTTTAATCACGAATTCAGAAGTAAGACTCAAATATTTTTCGGACAGCCTCTGTTGTGTACTATAAAGTCTAAACAAATAATAAATACAGCATTGAAAACTGTAAATAATAAGGTAAAACGAACACATCTACGAACTTAATCCTGCATTTCTATCACTTTTAAGAATCGCACTAATTGTCCCTTCTTTGACACTTTCATATTTAAAATAATCACCACAAATTAAAAATTACTCACAAAACTGATAATCGCCGATATTGCCACTAAATATCCCCATCCCCCATCGGGGGGCACCAACTTATATTTCTTTTCCATCAAATTAAAACCTTCCTGTTTTTCTTTCGACACCATAGTTTCACTATTCACCATATACAACACACATCTCCATATAATTTGCCACCGGTTTTATTCATAAAAGTATTTGCTAACTATATCTTATTTGTTCGTTAATTATTTAGACTTATAATAAAATGGTTTTGTTCTACGATAAGATAATTTAGCTATAGATCTGCCAGTCACACCAAACAATGTAGTTTATTTATAAACAGCGTGTCTAAAAAAATATGAAAAGAAAATATTTTTTCATTATCTACTAAAGAGCCTATTGGCAACTCTAGTTTCATCATCCTATAAGTGCCTCTTCTCACACGGAGAAGATTTGAGCATTATCCGTCACGTTTGCTTAAGGCGAATTGGCGATTTCAAACTGATAATTAGACATTATTAGTCCAGGTTTCCTCATGATGTTGTCATTCACCGTATGTCAATGGTGCCTTAATAATCATAGATAGTGCATTTATAATTATTCGGAAAAAGTCACATTAGTACTTGCCAGATATTAAAACTGCACCAGCATGCATGAAAAGCGGGCGCCGGGCCACCAAAGCTTAACTTCATATAAACATTCAAGTCCAATATCATAGAAACTACTAAATTGATCATAATGAAACTTGTTATCCATACTAAGTATATCAATGTGTAAAGAGTTAAAAAAACATTTTCAAAAAATAGTTAACTAGTTAACCTACAAAGTACTAAGTTAACCAACATAGAGAGTCAATTTTATGTTTCCATTCTATCTTACAATCGCGTTTAAATCATATTTTACCATATGAAATTTCATGAAAATTTTAATTTTAAGGTTTAGTAGTTTTTATGATTTTTGGATCCCTTGATACTTTATGCCGTTGAGTTAGGTCATACGCCATACACCAATAAAGGCCATTTGCCAAGATGTAACGCGTTTTTATTAAAATATCTAAAAGAATTGGTCAGTCTACAAACCAATAGTTTAGTTGGTAGTTAAAGGAAGAATTCTCGAATCGTCGAAATATAATTTGACAACGAATTTTACCAAAATAATATTCTCAGCTGACACTACACGTTCAACATTATTTATTTATATTATATTTCAATATAAAGTGTAGTACAAGTATTGAATTGTATCGCAAATTGTTAGGAAAATAATTCTACTGTTTTAATTGAAGTAAATATAATTATGTAATATTATCATAAGCAAGGCATTGTAGAAAAGGCATATATAAAAAAAAACACGCTGTATGTGTATATAAATAAAAGTAGACGAAATTATGAGTAATTAGCACTGTGATCTTAGCTTTATTAAAATAATTTGTAGTTTTATGTCAGGTATCAGACTTGAAGTATAAATAAAGACTTGTAACAAACAAAATAGACTCTTTCAGACTATTACTAATTTATCCAACCGTGTGTGAATTTGTGTCCCGTCTCCCACGTGCGCGTGAGAGTGCAGGAATCAAATTCATCCGCAGCCTGCCCTTGTAGTCCCCACCTAAAGATACACGGGTTATCTACACCAAATAAACCAAGAAATCACTTTTGAAAATAAGAGTGTGAACAAAAATGATAGCATTACAGTGTCATGAAGCAAGGCATCTCAAATATACAAGATAGAAAAATCTATACAAATATTATAAAGAGGTAAAATTTGTAAGTTTGTATGTATGTATGTAATCTTAGAAACAGCTGGTCGGATTGCCAAATTTCTTTCACTGATAGAAAGCTACAATGTTCCTGAGTGCTATAGGCTAGAAAACATCACGTTACGATCAAATGGAGCCGAGCAGCGGGTGAAACCGCGTGAGGGTAGCTAGTATATATATATAGGTATACTGGACTATACTAACATATTAATATTAAAAACAAATATAAATGCATTAAAACCTTAAATAAAATGTGGCGTTTAACAAGAAATAAAATGAAATATACAAAACAAAAATACAAAATAAAATGAATTAATGTATTTAGACGTATGAGCTTAAAATCTATATTGACTTTTCCCGCCCTGGGAGCAAGAGAGAGTATGGAACTCTTACTGACTTACAACCAACTCGTTCCCACTCCTGTTCCAAGCTGGGTTGCATTATTGCGCTTGCACTTGCAGCCCAAGCTGAACATTGGCCCCTTTGGGCCTCTTTGGTCTGTAGTGGTCTAATGACTAGGTGCATCTGCATGAAATATAGTACACTCAGCTGCAGAGAAAAGAATCCCCCTATGCAGATAGCTGCATACATATTTGTACTTCAGGGAGAATCCATTTCTCTGCATCTGAATTTGCAAACATAAGATCGGCTAAAAAGCAGTGATAAGACTCCAGACCTATTAACAATCGTTCTGTTATTTAATTTTTTTCAGAATACCCTCTCCGGGTATCGATTTAAAACACTTTGATCTTCATTGGCACTTTAAGCCACTCATCCAAAAAGGCTGATGATTAGGTAATATTATCCAATTCATGATGATTTTCATCTCACAGCCTCTGATCTTTACGTCATAAACATTATTTTGTATTACACAATGTTTTGTAATTTTAGACGCAATATTTAATTAAAGTTTTAATAGGATTAATACGCTAGTAAATCTTAACGAGTGCTGACGTTACAACATGTATTTCAACCGCTATTTGTACCAAGTTAAAACTATATTTGAAGTTCATTCGCTCTTTTTCCGTCTGTCGGGTTGTTTCTCATAGACCGTTTTTTTATATAAAATTTGGCATCGTGAAGTTTTCCCTTCCTGGTTGGGGCGAGAGTCGGTGTCAGACTATTACTAACTAATAAATTATCTCGTTACTTCTCTTGCTCCAAGCCAGTCCACGGTACATCATAATCGTGGTTACCCACCCAGTTAGCCAGTGTCGCGGGTTGAGCGCAATAAGATACCCTGGTCTCAGCCAAGAGCAGGAGAACGAACGAGGGTGTTTTTAGTCTGATACTCTCACCATACCCTGAGCGAGAGAAGTTATTTGATGATTTTCCCTCTAAAAAGAAGGCAGCAGAAGCCATTTTAATCCTCAGTAAAGCTAAACTGTGGCAAGAGAGACGACACAGTCATCACTGCGAGGACCAACCCGAGGAAACGGTAGAGCAAACGGTGGCAATGTTCCCAGCTCGGGCTAAGCATCACCATAATCTCAGGGACACCACCCTGAAGTTTGGGCGATCGGCAGCAGCAACCTCTCACACCTAGCCTGTCGAGACCATCGTCCAAAGCGAGAAGAAATGGGAAGGTGCTTCTTCTTTCAGCGAAAAAACAAATAATAAATGCAGAGTGCGTGACGAGACCCAGAGAAAGAACGGTAAGAGTCTGATATTTCCTCTTTTACCACCCAGGTTGGGAGAATTAACCATCTCCCCCCTAAATACAACTAATATATTCGATTAGCGAACCAAAACATTTCAAGGAAATAGAAAATGTTTTGAAATGAATATTGATTCAATCTGATAAACTAATTAAATAAATTAAACATGAAATAGATAGTGGCTATCTCCCGTGTTATCTATGAATAAATAAATAGTCTGGGTCATGCCACGTGCATTGTGGTAGCCATCTTGTAATATAAGGTACAGATAGGTACAATCCTACAGGAATCAAACTATTTGAGAAGATCCAGTTCCTATATAGCTTTTTTTTTGTGAGGGGAAAATCATCAAATGACTTCTCCCGCCCAGGGCCGGGCAGGAGGGAGTGTCAGACTCTTACTGACTAAAAACCCCCCTGTTCCTTCTCCTGCTCTGTGCCCTGGTCGCGGTGCCTCATTACGCTTACCCCGCAACCCCGGCTGAACATCAGCCCTTTAGGGCCCCGTCTGTGGTGGTCTAATGGCTCTTTGAGGCGTACGCGGAACGCTACGCGCCGTACAGTTCCTATATAGCTTGCAAAATAATGAACAGGTAGTAAGTCAACACATACCATTTGCCATAGTAAACTAGCATCTAATTCAATTTAATACCGATTTTTATGATACAAGTGAGCGAAACATAAACAACGCCTAGATATTAATTAGTTTTCTTATTTCCTTATTCTTGTTTTATTGAAATATATTAAAATTTTTGTAGACACACATATGTATTTTTACTGAGATATTTAAGTTAAAAGACAACAGCACAAGTTTCAATATATTTTTACTTAAAACAGTAGTAATAGCATTGCAATATCATTAACATAAAATCTGCCTAAATTTCGTCTACAAAAGCTGGTAAATAACTGCAACAAAATATACACAAGTCTGAAAGCACTGTTAAAATGCAAATAATTTGCAACTGATCTAAATCTTATCATAATGTCAGTAGTTTCTCAAATAGAAATAATATGAATAAATATATCATTTAGATAACCAAATATAAACAAAATTGGTCACAGTAAAATCTTGATAAACTGATTCTGGAAATAGATAAGAACAACAAATAAACTTTGAAATATGTACGTAAGTCAAAAATCGTTTGAAGACTACGTAGAAAACTCAATCATATCCGATTACATATACCTCAACATGTAAATAATAATCTTCTTGGTAATGAACATAAACTACCTACCTATTTTAAGTATAATATCTATGAATGGTTTGATTTGATTAGTAGGGGAATCGCAGTCTGTCAGAATGGTAAGGGTTACTTCTGTGTATTGTTTGTCAATCGGTAAACAATAGCGGTTGTGTTATTAGATATTCTAGTAATAAGTATTTTATTTGATGGCTTTGACGTAGTACTTTCTTTTGCTTTCCAAGTACGATCTCCACATAGCTTTTATTAGTGATTATTATTTATAGGGTGATAAATCATCACATTTGTCCATCCTGTCCATGATACGAGAAATAGTGTCAGACTCTAAATGACAAGAAACCTACCCGTTCCTTTTCCAGGCTAGGGCAACAGTTTATTTTTGCCGTTGCAATCGTACCGTGGGTACCTTCAGAGATGTCATTCTATTCTCATTGTGTTTTCAATACCTTTCTACCTACTTTTACGATACAGTAAGGAATAGAATAAATTAAAAGCAACAAATTTTCATTTTAACTCTTTCTTTAATTCACTAGATCCATAATCTTCTTTTTCGACTCTTCTTCTTTGTTTTCTGCTCTTTATAACCATTTCTATCGGCCATAAGACACAAATGAGTGCATATAATGAGATCACAGCGTAAAATGCAGACGAGTAGCTATTTGTGATATCACGTATTGCGCCTGAAAGAAAATTTGTAGCTATAAGTTGTCTTGCGTATGAAACTAGCATAAATTTGTATTCTTTTTCTCCTGCTCTAGGCTGAGGTCGCGATGCCTTATGGCGCTTGTTCCACAACGCAGTTGAACATCAGTCCTATAGGGCCCCATCTGTGGTGGTCTATTGACTCTCACACCCGGTTTCCGAAAGGCCGATCAATGTTAAAATCAATTTAATCTCTTGTCAAGTCATCTGATTGGTTGACTGAATTATCAACAACCAATCAAATGACTTGACAAGAGATTTGACACCTAGTTAGTTGATTTTAACAATGATCGGGCTTTCGGAAACCGGGCATTAGAGTCGCGCGGAAGGCAACGCGTCGTACACTCGAGTATACCGTAATAAGTCAATATTATAACGATGGGTCACCATGACGTCGATTTGAATGCCACAAATAGGTACGGCCCGCTAATTTTTATAATGGAAAAAGTGCTGAGTAAAAAAATTACATTCTAGACAATCACTACTAGAAATATTACTAAAACAGTTGAATAAAAAAAACATACCAACAGCAGGTCCAATACTCATGCTTAATACTCCAAAGAGAAGTAAATAAAAACCCATAGCAGATGTAAATTTCTCAGGAGGTACAGCTTCGGCGATTACCAATGGCGACAACACAGCTATTGAACAATGTGCCACACCCATGAAGGCGAAATAAACTAAAATCACTATTTGGCTGTTTGACCAAATCATACCTGAAAATGATTGTATTTTTTAAGAAAAGCAATGACATATATACACGTATCTAACTCAAACGTTTTCTGTCAAATACGGCAACTATTTGATTTCTTTTTGCTATTACGTGTTATTCCAAATTCCTATAATGTATTTGAAAATTACACTTAAGTTTTAATATATTAGAAATTTAATAATTGTTCTACACTTTTATATTATTTTCGACTTTAATCTAAACACTATAATAAATTATTCTTTAGTTAATAATTTTCATTATAATAGGTAAAATTTAATGGAACTTCAATTTTCACAATGTCATATATGTAAGTAATTTAATGCATGCTGTGATTACCTATAAATGTTGCACAAGTATTGTACTATTATGATGAATGTATTTAATATTTTAAAGTGTAAAAAATAGCTGGTGGGCCAAATAAAAAAAATAATGATAAATAAATAATATCTTTACCAAATTATTTATTATGTTTTCGGCTTACTCACGTAATAATTTGACGAGATACTCGACTAGTTTCAAGCCATGCTAGAGGCCCATATTCATGAGCAGCATTCCGCGATACGCGACTCGGCGACCGTCGCGCTGCTACTCGAGTCGCGCGTCAAATTATTACGTGAGTAAGCCGAAAACATAATAAATAATTTAGAATGTCTCACGAAAGTTATAATAAAAATATCTTTACCAATTCTTGATAGCACTGCAATAGCAACACCAATAACGTAAATCTTCTGAATACCAATCTTGTACATCCACTTTGAGATACCAGTGAATAGGACTCTCGTCGCTAGATCACCAAAACCATATAAAGTTATCGCCATTGCTACGCTTTCCTAAAAGAAAGTGTTATTTTAAAATAAATCGGTTAAAGGTAAAATAAACTTATTGTTATTAAAAATATATTTGTAGCAAGCTTTTCGGCAGGTTTTTTTTCAGTCAGGGGCTGGAATACATCCCACAGATGCACCATCTGTGTGGTCTGAGAGGTAGGTATTTGAAGCGCCCACGGAACACAAAAAAATCTGTGTCTGCCGCCGCTGGAGCATTTGGTGGATTGTTCTTTCACGCACCCAGGCTCCTTAGCTAGCATAACGGCTTCGCTTCCCAAATCCTCTCATTTCGCATCATGACCTGAACCAATGCCGAGCGCGTGTCGTGCTATGCATTGACGTTGGTCGGTGCTGTCGTTTCCCTGAGAATATAGTAGTACTTAGCCCAAGCAGGGTAGCCATTGTGTGGTTTTCAGTAAGCTCCTACAACCCCCCTTAAATAAGATATAAGCTGCCATGTACTCCAGTCCCAACAAAACACCTGACGACAAACTTTATAACAATATACTTGGATAAGGACTTCTCATCAGATTTTCCTTATTCTTAATTTTATTTATCAGATTTACAAATTACGGAAATAGCACCTGTATTACCTCTATGTGAAAATACATTTTAACTTACTTGGCTCCATCCCATGGAGTATAAGCACGGTGGCACCATAACAATGTAGATACCATCAGCTGCTATGGACAACGCAGGTCCAAATGACGAACAAGAAAACAGAAACGTTTTGATCAAAGATGTGTCTATCACAGATTCTATTGCTTTCCTGCAATTGAAGAAAAATGCATTTTCAATGTAAAAAAATTAAAAAATGTGACAAGTACTTTTTATTTATACAGGAGTGAAAGTGATAGTTCCGAATTCAGCAGATGATAGGTCATCTGCTGAATTCGGTGACTTTAATATTCATTGAATAATAATAAAATAATTGTTTGGTCTAGTTTGTTTCACAAGTTACAAGTATCTTAACACTACATTATAAATGGAACTGTTCCTAATTAAATTGTAAATTGCATAAGAATTTTTATGAAGTACCTGAGGCCACTCTTCTTCTTGCCTTTTTCTGGTATGTCGAAGTATTTGTCTAAAGTTTCTTTCGTGGTTGTACCTTCCAAATCTGTTAGATCTGATAATTTTAAAATTGGCGTTTCAGCCCTATCTTCTTCCTTTCCTTCGACTTCAAGAAGGTTGTCTGGAAAATTATAATCGATAATCTTTAAATAAAGCTTAAAATACTTAACAACTAAAGTTTTGGAAACAAAGCTTAATATGATATTCAGTTTTGTTGTATGAGAAAAGAAAGAGGCCAATTCTTTTCCCCCTTTCTAAAAATCTAATCCACTATCCTTTACCCCAAAACATCGGAAAATAGGTGGCGCCGATTACTGCCATCAGGTCATTTTTGCCCTTTTACAATGAAAACTTTATACAGGCCGATTAAAAGAAGCAGAAGCAAGTGGCGTCTGAATAAAGCCACAAAAAAGGGGATTTTCTTTCTCTAAAGTAAAATGCACTTTCTGTAAAACTCACTAAGTTCAGTCTTTTCAGTTGCTTCTATTGGTACCTTCTTCATATGCCACTGAACAGGTTGCATTAGCAACACAGCAACAAAAATGTTCAGCGATATGCCTCCAATAAGTAGCAGAGTTCCTTTCGATCCATAGTTTTCTAGAGACCATTTTACGAATATTGGAGCAATCATCGCGATGACTCCTGTCGAAAGAAAAGAAGGAAATTTAAAACTTATACAATTTTTTCTTTCGGAGTTATGGGTCAAGCTCGATAATGATCCGTGGTATCCGAGCAGGAGAAAACGAAGTATATTTTTAGTCAGTAAGAGTCTACAATGTCCTGTTGCCCCTACCAGGGCAGAAGCCATTTGAAGCCATCCATGAAAATAGAGACAGACAGTTTATCCATCAGTGAAGCCAGATGCTCGTTCTAAAATGTAGATTTGTGTCAAGAAGAACAACTAATGTGTGGTAAATGTTTTAAAAATACTTTATTTGAATCGTTACCTGTAGCAGTTTGTACGAAGCTCATAACTAATACTCTTTTCTCGATAAAGTATTCATTTACTATTGTGCAGGATAGATTGAACATTACGCCCAAACCAGCACCCTGTAATTTTAAATAAATCTGAAGCCACTGCGTCCTTTTAATAGAACTTTAATAGATTTATTAAAAATAACGAATTACGAAAAACATAACACTTGCGTAAAAAGAGGGAAAGCCCTCTTTTTACGCAAGTGTTATGTTTTTATAAGCTCAACGATGGATATGTTAATAAGTGGCACTGCAAATTAATATGTAAATGCAAATACTTTACCTGACACATCCCAGCGGTAAGGAAGAACATGATTGGTGTGGTCATTATGACAGTACCCAGTGTTCCGCATGCAAATATCAATGACGATACAAAGGCGAGCTTACGCATCGACATTATGTTCAGCAAGGCCGATGTGAAGAAACCTGGAATCAATATAATTAATCTGGTTATAACATAATATCTACTGTGGAATCATAAATTTATTTGTTGACTTTGACCTTTTTTAGTTTTTGACTATTTACGAAGACTGCGACTAAATAAGGGATGGTAGTTGTGAGACCCAAGACAAGCAAGTCAACAAGTTTTTATATTTAACACCATATACCTCAACGAGAAATCATAACTTTTTTGAGGAAGGATGGGCAAATGAGTGTGCGATAGTGATTTGCTTGAAAATAATTAATTGATGACATCTGTTACATCGGTACATCAATTTCACTTCATCATCATCAGCCGGAAGACGACCACTGCTGAACTAAGGCCTCCCCCTTAGTCCTCCATATCGATCGACAAGTCGCCACATGCATCCATTGGCTTCCCGCGACTCTGGCAATGTCATCGGTCCACCTGGGGGGAGGCCTGCCCCCACGCTACGTTTTCCGGGCCTTTGTCGTCACTTTTGGTCCCTCGAGCGACGTGAAGCATCAGTAAGTAGTTTGCTTTCTGATGCTTAACTAGATTTATAAATTTCTCGGTTTCTGTTCATATTGAAACCTTAAGAACATTTATGTAATAATATAATTTATAGTTTAATGTAAATTACCAGCAAGGGCGACGGATGCGCTGAATATTCCCATGAGCAGTGTGACGCTGGCGGAGTTCAATGACACTGAACTTATGAAGTCATCGTACATCATTCCGAAACAACCACCAAACGCCGTCGTGGTCGACTGGAATAGTAACGAAGATATTTATTCGTTCATCGTGTAATAAATAATGTACATAATAACATGTTTTTATGGGATAAGGCTACAAATACGCAGAATAGTGTGGAAGCTCATTGTTTCATTGTTTCATAGAATAATAAGAAAATAATGAATATACGACAACACCCAGAAAAATCAAGGGTCTCTATATGTTTTGTACAATATTGACTGAGATTTGTGAAAGTTTGATAGGTATAACCATGATCAGAGACTTAGGAAATTTTAATCACGAAACGGCACTTGAATGAGTTCAACGTGGGTGAGGTTTTAAACCTTATGTTTCTTTCCGACACTTAGATTAAACACATTGTTTGATACAGTTCGACCAAATGAAAAGAGACCAAAGAAAGAAGAAAGAGAGGGAAAGATGTTTTCTCTCATATGACAAAACCAATACGTTATAAATAAGTCACTTAAATACTTTTCATAACATCATTACTTTAAAATGAGATAACATAATGTCATGCTGATGCTGTAATGCTTTACACAGTTAAATTAAGTCTTAATTAAGATTATTTGACTTTTAATTGTTATCTTCTTTTACCAAGAATGGATGTTGCCAACGTTACGCATGCAAAAATATATTTGTTTTACGGAATCGTGACGTAAATTTGAATAGATTTATTTTTTTATGTAATACCATTTGTCGGTAGATGTGTACTTGTAACGATAAAATTGCCTAAATGTAATGTAACTAGTAATAATTTCCACTATGCGAGATGACACTAATAATTATGAATACTTTACGACTTACGATAATGATTATGAATAACATAGAGACCAAGTTATCTGATGGAAATACAACCTATTATACATATTATTTGAGGCAACTAAGTAAATACAGGACAATATTTTATGCCTATTTGACGATAAAATTACCGTATCCGTAGCCTTACATCAGAAACATCACAAATGACTTGCCATTAATATGATCTAGTTGTTTCCCAAAATTAATAATTTCCCACATTTTTAAGTTCTTTATTTTATATAATTTGTTTGTTCTTTTAATTTTCTATCATAGTTACACTATTGTATTTTAAAAGATCGACAATCAGTGAAAATTATAACAAATGAACAATCAATATACTTTCTCCATTATGTTTATAGGCAGTTAAGAATATATCATTATACATAATATTTATTTGGCATCGTGAGTTGTAGAAGATAGCCAGAAGTAAAAAAAAAAACATTGTCATTTAGATAGAAATCTGCTTTTAATTTAATGTTGATTTTTGATTTACCTATGAAATTAATTTGGAAGAAAAAATTGTCATAAACTAAAAAAATCATAAACTAGTATATATAGTCATAAACTAAAAATTTTGACGAGCTAGTGATTTTTCGGAATATTTTATTCCGAAAAATCACTAGCTCGTCAAAATTTTTAGGCAATTCGTTTTTAACTTTGGCTGCTGTGCAACGTGTCGCGAGTGCAATTCCCGCTCGGAACAACTTTTTGTATGATCCTAGTGTAGGGAAACGTTTTTAACCGACTTCAAAAAAAGGAGGAGGTTCTCAATTCGATTGTTATTTTTTTTTTTTTATTTTTTTTTTTATGTTTGTTACTTCAGAACTCCGTCGTTTATGGACGGATTTGCAAAATTTTTTTTATGATTGAAAGGATATGCATCCAGATTGGTCCCATTCTTTTCAAAATTGAGTTTTGATGATGGGATCCATGAGAAATCGAGGGAACTCCTCAAATATTATAGGCAACTATATAGTAATTTTAATATTTTCATAGAGCACTCAAGCATTTACAGTCAAAAAGTAATATTTGATGAGGTGGAACTGGTGAAGAAGATCAGAAATGGGTGATGAAACTTGACACTCGCATAGATATCACAATCAAGGTAGTTCAGCAACTATGAAAATGCACTGTAAACCAATGATCTTAAATAATTATGTTGGAAATGTTATCATCGAACTGATTTAATGATGATTATGGAGCTGGAAAGTAGGCACTGGAACTGCGTACCTAATTAATATATCCTAGCCGTGTTTGGGCTTGTTAGAATTGTTATAAGATGCACTTTGGCTGTAAGGTACTATTGAACTGATGTGATGATGAAGCTGGAAGGTTGGCATGGGGCCTAGTATTGTGTAAGCTTATTAGAGCTGTCAAGAGCAATGGAAAGGGCTATGCTCATAGTTTCCGTGCATGTTCGAATCAGAAATGAAGAAATCCGCAGAAGAACCAGCGTCACCGACATAGCCCGAAGAAATGCCAAACTTAAGTGACAGTGGGCACGGCACATTGCTCGTAGAACAGATGGCCGATGGGGCCGAAAGGTTCTAGAGCGGGACCGCACACCTTTGGGGGCGGAGTTTGGCCTAGTATTGGCTATTTTGCATTAGTCCACGTGGACTGCGTTTACACATTAGTGGTTAAATGCGTCATTGTGTTCTTATCGTTTTCCTGGTAATAGGCTAAGAGAATTCATTGGCATTTTTAACAAAACAGTCGTTTTAAATGGGTTACAAAACAATAATTGCGTCGTACAAAACAATAATTGTGTTTCTTTTGTGTGCACATATGTAGATAATACTTACTTAAAAAAGGTTCATACATTGAATGACTCATAAATGTATATTTACAATAGCGATGGTCTTTTGTATTTTTACCAACTTGTCTATATATGAATGTTCTTAGTAATAACAAAATAGTATTCTTCATTTAATGGGTTACAATTGATACAAAACAATAATTGCATCGGTCTTTTTTCTATGTACGAATGTATTTAATCATAGATACTAAATTAGATTGCATTTGGTATCTTTGAACTTTATCTGTCTGTTGATGAAAATATCTAGTTTTTTGTTATTTGGCGAGAACTAATATGAATTTATGATAAGATTATTATTTTTTTTTAACTATAAGTCATAAGTATCTCATGCATCATATCATCTCTCCTCGAGATCAAAACGATTACACAGTAACAATGTACTATGATATGTATTTCTACGTATAAGTATGACATTGGTAACTTTTTCAAAAGAAATGTAGGAACGATATTGACTTCTTTGCCATAACACATTATAATAAAAAAAAACACTAAACGGCTACAAATAAAAAAAAATTTTACAAAATAAAAAAACCGCCTTCAAAAAAAGTCAAGCAATAAAAGTTCCTACACTAAAAAGTAAAAAATAACAATTTGAATTACTGTAAAAAAACTTAGTTTATATGTAAACTTATTTGACATTAATATTTTGCAAATATTCAAAATTTATTACTTATTTTTGGAGTCGGTGCCAGCCCATGCAAGGAAATACAAATGGGCAACAATCCCTTGAAAAACTACCTCTCACTTAATTATAAAACTACTTAATACCTATTTGCATACTCAAATATAGGTATATTAATTAAGACATAAATACAGATTAGACTTCTCTACAAAAAATGTCCGATTTGCACATTTTTTTTAAATAAAAAATATATACTTATAAAAACATTTTAAGTACATTGAAAATGTTTAAGCATTATGTACGAAAAATGGCACCGGATATTAAAAAGCTAACTAACATTAAGTTTCAACATTAAAATGCTGGCACCGACTCCAAAAATAAGTAATACATTTTGAATATTTGCAAAATATTAATGTCAAATAAGTTTACATATAAACTAAGTTTTTTTACAGTAATTCAAATTGTTATTTTTTACTTTTTAGTGTAGGAACTTTTATTGCTTGACTTTTTTTGAAGGCGGTTTTTTTATTTTGTAATTTTTTTTATATAAAGAAAGAAATAAAGAACTGTATGACTCTACAAAAAATTGTTCAATCTGTTTAATTAATTACTTTTGTAAAATATTAAAAGTCCAAATAAATATCAGTCATGTAGGATTGAATATCACGACCTGCTATAGAATGCACACAGCATGCACGGAAATCAGATTGGAGACTCTTGTTTATCTTATTAAACTAGTCAGTGAGTATCTTTCAAAAAATTGGCTATTTGATTCAAACATAATTAATATTCAATTTTTAACATAACTAATATAAAATTTTACACTAGCCACCCGCCCAGGAGCACGCGTGTGCAACGCTGATACCGTACTTAATTTTTTCCACAATTTTATCGATGTTATTATTTAAGAAAACGACTTTAAACACCATTGCGTAGTTTTAAAGATCTAAACTTTCAAAAATATTCATCATCAGCCTATAAGTGCCCACTGCTGAGCAAAGGCCTCTTCTCAAACGGAGAAGGTTAGAGCATTAATCACCACGCTTGCTCAATGCGGGTTGGCGATTTCAAACTTATAATTAGAAATTATAAGTCCAGGTTTCCTCACGATGTTTACCTTCTCCGTATGTCAGTGGTGTCTAAATAATCATAGACAGTACATATAACTCGGAAAAAGTCACATTGGTACTTGCCAGGTTTCGAAACCCACACCCTTATGCATGAGAAGCGGGCTGCTTAACCTTCGGGCCACCACGACATTATTTCAAAAATATAGGGATAGAGAATGCGATTTTGTTTTATTCCATGTAGTAATGTGAAGCGATCTTATTTTTAAATGTGTATCTATTATTATTTATTTATCTTATTTTGTTTGCAATTTTCAGTATTTTGTTTGTTATCTCAATGTCACCTGTCTCTGTTTTATCTTATATAATGAAAATAAAAAGAACCATGAACTTGATCTTGAATTTTTACAAAGTACACGAAAGATTATAATACATCTTTCATTATTATATATTTACCTATACATATATCTACATCTTCGATCGAATAATCACCACAAACAAAATTACTCACAAAACTGATAATCGCCGATATTGCTACTAAATATCCCCATCCCCCATCGGGGGGCACCAACTTATATTTCTTTTCCATCAAACTAGAAAGTTCCTTTTTTTCTTCCGAGACCATAGTTTCACTATTCACCACATAGGTATGACAAACTTTCCTATATGATTTTCCTCTGGTTTTATTCATAAAAGTATTTGCTAACTATATCTTGTTTGTTCGTTAATTATTTAGACTTATTATAAGTGATTTTGTTCTACGATAAGATAATTTAGCAATAGATCTGCCAGTCACACCAACCAATGAAGTTTATTTAACAGCATGTTTGAAAAGTGGCGTTATATGTAAAAAATGATTTGCTCATGATACTTAGAAGTATAGCCCTAAATAAATTGTTTTAGGCCACCAATCAATGAGAGTATGATCGATCTACAATTTATTAACATATAGAAAAAATAATGTTAGCCTAATCAAATAAACAGATTGATATTGAATCTACTAATATTAAAATAAATCAGTTTACGATTTACGATTACGTAGCTAAAGTTATTAAAAAACAACACGCTGTACAGTCACATAAAGAAGAGCAGACGAAATGATGAGTAATTAATTGCTACTTCGGTCGGCACGTCATCTATAAAGTTTGTCATTTTATAACAGGTGTAAGACGTGCTTTGGCTATAACGACTTGTCTTTTTTATGGAATAGAAAGCAAACGAGCAGACAGATTACCTGATGGTAAGCAACTAGCGCCGCCCATTGACACCCGCAACGGAGGAGTTACGAGTGCGTTGCCGACCTTTTAGGGATTAGGGATTTGGCGATTTACGGATTGAGAAGGCATTGGGGGCGGGGAAGGATTGGGCCTTCGGTAACCTCACTCACACGGCGAAACACAACGGTGGTGGTAATGTGGGTAATGTGGTTGTTTCACGTCGGTCTTCTGTGAAGCATGGCTCTCCCACACTTAATTTCACACAAAGTCATGCACATTATTTACCGAAAATATTTTTTTTGTTGGAGAGTATTATCGAATGACTTCTCCCGACCTGGGTAGGGTCAGAGATAGTGTCTACACTTTCTTACTAAAATCCATCCTGTTTCTACTCCTGCTTTGGGACGGAGGCCGTACTTTATAACACTTGCGCTCGCAAGCCCGGGTAAGCCATTTTAATTAATCTATAAGGAGCTTCATAATAACAGCTAATTGCGTAGTTTTAAATGGAATATACATACATTGGAATATAGGGTCAGCTTACAATATTATATCGGAGGCCCAATCCTTCCTCTACCCCTCCCAATTCCAAAAACCGGCAATGTACTCCTAACTCATCTTTTTTTTTTGTCAGGGGAAAGTCATCAAATGACTTCTCCCGCCCAGTGTTAAGCGAGAGAAAGTGTCAGACTCTTACTCACTAAAACCCCCCGTTCCTTCTTCTGCTCTGGGCCGCGGTGACTCATTGCGCTTACCCCGCAACCTCGCTGAACATCAGCCCTATAGGGCTCCGTTTGTGGTGGTCTATTGGCTCTTTGAGACGCGCGCTGAACGCTACGCGCCGTGCGCTCGGGTCTGGTTCTTGTCGGGCGGCGAGTTACCCTTCAGACCCGCGCTTACGGTGGCCGGAGATCGTCTCTTGATCCCCGACGTCCGTAGTGTCGCCTGCTGGACTATGTGCAGTTAAGGTTGCAAAAGCAAGCGCAAAAGTGTACCATGACCCGGCTCAGAGCAGGACAAGGGGCGAAGTGGTTTTTAGTCAGACTTTTACTTATTAGGTCTGACTATAATTATCGTACTACTATCGTAACCTCCACCGAGGGCAGGATAAGTCATTAGACGATATATTCCCAAAAAGGACTTTGAGTTACATCTGTGTTTTTTTTTAATGTTATTAGTAATTTTTGCTTGACATTGCTAGACTAACGAGGTAGATGATGATTAATTAGATATTATCCAAATCATCCAAGTCATTGTGATAATTTCGCCTCAAATAATATCTCATCTTTATACAATGTGAGATTATTTTGTTAGTACGCAATGTTTAAATAATTATTTTTAAGTAAATAGCTTAATATTATTATGTCAGCACAATATCTGAAACGTCATGTCTACCCAAAAAATAACATTTGGCGATACTCTTTAAATATAAAAAATATAATGGATTACTTACTACTTATACTTCTTTTTACGGTACTAGTATTATTAAGACCACCACAGATAGGCCCAAGTGGGGTAATGTTCAGCTGTGGTTGTTGGCATAAGCACAAAATTAAATGTGGGCCAATACGGTAGTTTCCAACTAGTCAAATTCTATACTTTTATCCAAACGTCAAAAACTATACTTTTCTATGAAATTTGTATTAAAAACTGAGTTATGACGTCTTAACATTTTTGCGTCAAATAGCTTACTCATTTCTTAATAATCAGCTAACAAAATTTGAAACTTAGTGTATCGATCGATCGATGAATAAAAGTATAGTTATTTTTCAATATTTTATTGTATTGAAACGTCAAATTCATTTATGTTTGACCTAGGAAACTACCCAATTCGTTGCAGTGGAAAGATCGGGATGGTTTACCCGCAGACCACCCGTCTGTGTGCTTGTCACCTTGTGACACAATACATGATATGTTTCTGTTGCCGCTTTAGCAATCAATACACAGAGTGTCCAGTAAAGAATGGATAACCTTGAAATGCCTTTTAGTATATCCTTTGGCCATTCAGAAAAAACAAGGAAAAGGAAAGTATCATAGGTAGTACCTAAATTATTATGTCTTGAAGTAAAAAAACTGGGGCTAGCGGTAATACAAAATGATCCTTTAACATTTACGTTCATTACATTACTGCATAACCACGATGATTAAACATTGCTTTAAAAATAATTTTTTCACGATTTGTCTATAATAAATTAATTTGCAAGTTTTTTATAAAATATTTCTTTTCGTTTTTTTTTTGTATATTTTTCGAATGGCCATAAGATATACTTGAAGGTATTTTACTTCTTCTACATTTTTACATAAATGAAAAACAATCAATTATAGAAAATATTATTTATTATTTAATTTCTTTTGTCTTAAATATTCTCTTCGTTGTAGCCTCTTGTGTTTGTTCCTCTTATAGCAGAGTTCTATTGACCAGAAAAGTACTATAATGGCTAAGCAAGAGGCAATGAGGTAGAATACTGGACCGTAGCTTTCTGACAGCTCTCGGACGGCGCCTAGAAAAATAGAAAGAATAAATAACGTAACTTTTCTCACAAATTAGTGATTTTAATAGCGGATAGCGATAAAAAAGATTATACATTCTTAACATTTTTGTTCTGAAAAAACACACTTATTTACAATATTTATGTGATATTATTTATTTATTATTAATGTCATTTATATAATCATTATTTAACAGGTTCTAAGATGCGATTTATCATATAATGACAAAATTATTTGAGCGCTTTAAAATACTTACTTATAGCTGGTCCCAGCACTACATTAACTAGGCCTGTCACCATCATCAGCATGCCCAGAGCTGATGTGAACTTCTCAGGTCTCACGGCATCAGCTACCAGTAACGGTATGAGAATGGTCACAGCACAATGAGAGGCACCCACCAGGGGAATGTAGACCATCTTCGCTATGAAGCTTTTGGACCATAGTGTGCCTAAACAAAAATGTTTTAAGGCATTAAAAGATATGCAATGTTATGTGCGTATTTGCTTTAGCTTAATGCATGTATGTTATAGGTGTGAAAATTAGACTGTAATTCAGTTGTGTAAAAAATATTGGACCCTTTTTTGTAGTATCGAATAAGGAAACTATACAGAGTTAATTAATTCAACATTAGGGGTAGGAGATCGCTACATCAAGGCTCAGGGAGAACCGAGGCAGCTAGAGGATACTAATTCAGAAAGTCAAACTAAAAATAAGCAATTTATAAAGGAAACCTTGCAAATCTTTAAGATATTTTTATTGATCCTTATTTTGTAGATATGCAATTCTATTATACGTACGACTAAACACACTTATAATATCAAACTTCAATACACAACATTCCTTTGTGAAATCAAGTGTAACTACATTATATACAGGATTTAACAGCTAATTACAGTTGATTAGCTTGTCTCAGAAACCAATCGTTAAACTAATTGGCACGAGAGAAATATAACATTTCATATATTTTTTTGGTCTTCCGAACTGTATGCACATGTATTGTTATTGAAAATTTGGCTAAGCACCGAACTACAGCCACTCTGTATTTAGAGGTATGAGTTCAAACATGTTATGTAAAGTTAGTATTTGTGATCAGACTTCAGATAAAACGGGGGACGGTACGATAGACATTTAAAATAGGCTGTTGGTTTCTGTTACTTAAATATAAGTGTCTTTGATCTTTCATCTAAATATTGTTCTAAACCGTCTACCATTATAAATATCAAAATAAAACATCTACCATTTATTAAATAGACTGTTTTATTGAATCTTCTTGCGTTGTGTATCTCAGAGAGGTTGTTTTGCTCTGCCTTGCTCAATTCTCATACAATTCGTAAACAAGCCTTTGACTTACCAAGTCTTGAGACTAAACCTAGAGTAACTCCGAGGACGTACAATTCCTGGCTGCCCAACTTCTGCACCCAATTACTTAGTAGCGTGAACAGAACTCGTGTTGTCAAGTCGCCGAATCCATATAGATGCTGGGTCAGATTGACGTCTTCCTACAAAACAGTTATATTTGTGAAATTAATAAATTAATTTGGGAAACATGTAAGACAACAGTACATTTTCAACGGAACATCTTAATAACTGTAATATAACAATATCCGCATATAATAATAGGTTTTTTTTAAAAACGTTGCCCGGTAAGATTTTCTCCTGTGTCGTGGGTGCGTTTACAAACAGACAATTTCACGCCCAGACCACACACAAAGAGTGGTTCCGTGTGGCTCACACAAAGAGTTGTTCCGTGCGGGAATCAACGCGCGACACGTTGCGCGGCAGCCAGTTGCCCAGCCACCGCGCCAACCGTGCAGTCATCAGTCGTGAACAAAAAAATTAATTATAAATTTGATCGCCTAGCATCGCTAAAAGACTAAGAATTTTTCAACTAACTAATCATGATGTCAGTAGTTTCTCAAAAAAAACTACATGAA